TACAGTTTTCATCATCATAGTCTCTATTATCTATGCTTTCATTTATTCTATTGTATGCTGCCATTTGGTAATGTCATCATAGCAGATATTAGAGTAAATGAAAGCATACTACGGACTATGATTTATTTCATTTACTCTAATATATGCCATGGTAATACCATTTGGCATTAGGTAATGCCCACACAAACAATTTTCTCTGTATTCTATTTGGTAAAGAAACACTGAGCACTACGTAAACCTCTAACACGCGGGCTCACTCAACTTTTAGTACATATGACATCACAATGTACTAAATGTATATGTAATGCAATTAGTGGCCTTAGTGCAGCCATAGATCTACACAGCCTTATTGTTCAATACTAATTCTTTTCTAATTATCTTATTATTATAATTGTTATAATTAATCATCACCATCTTCAATAAGTATAAAATCAATAATCTCATTATGCATGGTAGTGACCACCTCCTCAACGACCACTGGACTAGGAACAGTTGAATTAGAAGCGGAGGAACAACTAGAAGACACAACCGGAGAATGAGACCGAGAGAGAAGAACTTTCCTGTGACTTTATCTTCTTCTTCTCGGCCTTGCTGACTGTGAACCATCTGTTTTAGTTTCTGGTTAGCTAGTGTATTCTTTTGTTCTAACTCATTCTTCTTTACAAAAAGGCTGGCTTGTAAATTTTCTACTTGTTCTACAGTTTCTCTTATCTTTTGGAGTCTGACATTTAAATGTAGCTGTTGCTCTTCAAGATCTTGTCTCTTCTTGTTGTAGAGTTTAACCTAAACGAGAAAGAAAAGGTACAGGTAATAGCAAAGTTCAGGACATTGTAGCCTCTACATAATCAACACTTTGGGACAGGGCTGTTATACAGCTGTCCTTTATGTGGAGGCTATTATACAGTAAGGGATGTAATTGGTACACTAGGTGCTGTCTGTTAAATGGAGGTGTACGCTATAGAGTGCCGGTGTCTGTTAAAAAAGAGGCTCTACTATATCATTGATCAAGAATCAAATCAAATCAAATAAAATTGTTGATCACTGATTCCAACCACTCACATAATCATTGATGAAATCAGGAAGATCAGGATATACCACAGGGACTCAATCAGGAGGAATATACTGGAGAGGGAGAGATATGAAATACATGTATATAAAAATTGAAAAATAGCATAAAATCATGCCCATACGTGCACATGCATAAGTATAAACATTATAAGCTCTTTGAAACTTACACACACATATATTCTTGGCTTATATATTGAAGTACATGTACATGAGTGTGCATGTACATACTATATATATATATATATTATGTACTTACGTCTAATTTATCAAGATCAACTTTATTAGTAAACTCATATCCAACTTGATACAGAGCATCAGTGGACCAATCACCGAACCAGTTCAACACACAACTATTGAATAAAGCAGGAGAGGTAGCAGCTTTGTCTTTAAGACCCTCAGAGGAAGGATTCGTAGTGAATACCACATGAAGGTTTCTCATTATCTGATGAGTGTCTTCAGAGGAATCAAGCATCAGTCCTTCCTTTTGAGACCCCTCCTTGCACTGGGTCATGAGGGTTGTGAATTCATTGGCTTCGAATAATCCAGGAACCTGTGAGGGGGAATTAGAATTATACTAAGAATTACATGTACATATGTATGGACGTCCTACAAGGGTTCTTAATATTACAAGTAAATAGATAGGAAATACAAGCCATACTATTGCTAGAAAGAATATTTAAAGTTTTAACTTAAATACAGGTAGAAATACTATATGTACATGTACAGTTATGCACATGTACATAATAACATCTCTCTTTTTTCTCTTCTCTTACTTCTCCATTGGCCAGTAGTGTGTTCATTCTTTCCAAGAATCCTAAATCGAGGACATTAGACTCATCCATTATGAATATAATCTTCTCATCATGACAGCCAGACTGTCTTGGCACTGTATGTAGATCATCATCAAAATCATCAGGAGTATATTTATTATGAACCTAGGAGAAAGACAAAAAAAACTTCTTTTATATCACTCTCGCTCCCCCCCCTCTCTCTCCATTATTACTTTTATTTGAAACACAGATAGTCCGTTGATCCAAGCCACAGACCTAGACAGTGTGGTCTTACCACCAGCTCCACTGAGAACCTAAAAGAGGCAGAGTCAATAAGGGATGGGGTCAGTATTAGACCACACCTACCTGTTGCAGTTTGAAGATCCTGTCGATACAAAGGACATGATCAAGGACTTCGTAAAAGGGAACAAGAAGAACGTCTAGTTCTTCCTCATTCAAAACCTTTAATCGGGCATGTACATAATCACGTAATTCTTCCTGATCTACTGGTAGATAATCCTATAGAGAATGAAAGGTGAATATATACATGTACATGTAAGTATTAAAATGTACATATCTACATATAAACCTAACCAAATTTCAGAACAATTTATAGCGTATAGCAAGATATATTTATGGCTCAAAATTTTAGTAAATTTTTCAA